CTATCTAACACAATCTCAAGCAACTCCAGACACTGTCCATGGAACTGCTCTGCTGTGACAGAAAAACTAAGTGAATTACAGGAACCAGCTGGGTATAGGAGTAGAAACTGGGCCCCATCTCTGGTTAGTGTATTGCCCATAAGTCTAAGTTTTGTTTTGAATATCATCCAAACTGTGGTTAGAGGTGTCCACAGCAGTCTGGTGGTAACTGCTTGGCACGAGGCTGGTTAAGAGTTTCACCTAGAGTGCTATTAAGACTCGCATCTCTTTTGTTAGTTTCCACCTAGTTCTGTTTAATTCCCTTAAAGCTATTTTTGTATGTGTGTTAGAAGTGCCACCAGCAGGTACGACATTTCAAGTAGACATACTCAAGGACATCCCTACAGTCTTGTCAAGAATCACTGGCTGGTGAGAAGCAGATGGGTGTAGTCACCAACACACAAAGGCCCTGGTGTTTATATTTGGGTAGGGTGGTGGCAGCTCAGATCGAAGAGTGAGAAAGGCATAACATGCCAGTAGGGTTTCATAGGGCTTCCCACACAGCACAGCCAGCTTCCCTGGGCCAGCTGAATCATTAATGTGCAACTCAGGCCTCTTCAGCTTGGTCTGAAAACATGCTTTGCTTGCATGGGAAAAGCACATAGAGTCAGCCTCAACCAGAAATGGTGACCAAGGTGTGAAAATCTTTCTGAGACTTAAATACTTCTATCAGCATATTGTTCAAAAGTGAAGTGTGACTCTCTGGCAGAGGTCTGGATTTGGTTATGTTTTTTAACTTCTTTTCATTTGGTGATGGCAGAGGCATCACAGAGAGGCAAAGTGCTTGCAGACCCTTCTTCTTGGCAGGAAAGCTTGTGACATGGCACTAGGCTAAAGCACTAAGGGTGACAACTGGAAAAATCAGGTTCATAAACAGGATTTGGTTCCTGTGTTGCTCAGTCTGATGCCAGTGCTCTTTGAAGGTTGATGTGCAACTTCTGTTGCTTAGAGGAGTTTGCGTATCTTTAATAATTTCACTTCCCTATGTATCACATATAGAGCACATGGTTGGTTGGGATAGCTGGGTTGAGAAACAGGGGTTTTGGTCCTGCAGACTATTGTCTTTTAGCTATAAACATGATTAAAAGCGGAAGTGTTTGTGGGGAGTAGGATATAAAACTTTTGGGGAAATCTGGAAAGAGAGCAAAGTGGTTGAGCAGTTCCATGAGAAGCAGAAGTGAATCTACTATTTTTGTTACTCAGCAAGGGAAAACATCTAGTGGAGGAAACTCACAGCTCTGCAGTCCCTTAACTTTGTCCTTTAGGTGAACATTTATCCTAAGCACAAGAGAGAAAACTGGGTTGAAGCTGACAGTGAGAAGACTATAACGTGACTGTGGTGGGCTCTGTGGGGACGGCAGAGAAGAGCTGGGGGGAAGGATGCAGGGTGAGCAGAGCTAAGTTTCCTCACATTAGGGTGCAATAAAATTTCATCACATTGTGTCTATCTGGCATGGGCTCTCTTTGGGGGCTCTTTGGAGTTTGTAGCCCACTTATTGAGTATCATCAGCTTAAACTGAGCAGAGTTCTATCAGAAGAGCTGAATATTCAAAAAGAACTGGCAGCATTGCAGACGCAGGATGAGGGGCAAAGGGAGGATACAAGTGCGTGGTTGGTGATACACAAAATCCAGGAGATAGACAGCAAACAAGTCACAGGCTGCACCAGCAATTTTGGATTCCGATGTCATTTTGGTAAGCCCACTTCTCATGTGCCCTTGGACATCCCATGTAGCATCTCACCCTTCCCACTGGGGTAGGTACCACAGACTTTGTGACTACCTATCCAGGGGTAAAGGAAATACATTGCTACTGTATAAAGAAATTATCTCCATTGGTGACTAGAGGAGATTACCTGACTGAAAAGGTACTTCACGAAAAATCCCCAGCCCAAGCAATGTTCCTCTTTGCTTCAGTAAGGTCAGGAGATCAACCTGGACCTCTGCATAAATGTTCTCATGTGAAGAAGGCGGCCGTTCCCATACCCAGGTGTCTCTCCAGGTGGTGTCAGTGGGAGCAGCCAATGAAGAAGTCTGCCAGACCTGAGGGATAACCTGTGGTGGGAGATGGATTTCCCTAGATGTGTGAAATCCTCCCTGCACCCAACAGAGCACAGCACCTTGTATGGACACATATGAGAACTCTCCAGAGGAACTAGCTGTCTTTGTCAACAAGAATGAAGGGAGCGAGCATGGGAGAGGCCAGCACAGCTAGAAGCCCTCAGAGAGGAGAGTAAACCAATATGCACTCATGCTCCCCAGGGAATTCCCCAGTGATTTCACACTGTCTAGTAAGCACCACAAAACCCTCTCTGGATGCCTGCATAGTCAGCCGAGATTCTAATGGGATACAAGCAGGTATTCATTTGTTTGTTCTTCTCTGTCGGAGAGGACTCTTACCTGTCACACCTGGACAGACATGTATGAAACAGGATCTCACAAGACAGAGAAAAACCTGGGCACTTTGCAGGGACATCATGGCCTCCATCTGGCTTTGTCATGGATCCACAATGTTAGGATGGGACTTCAGGAGGTCTCTCATCCAAGCCCCTTCCTAGAGCAGGGCCAGCCAAGTTACAAGTGTGGAGCACATTAGCCACAGGGTAAGGCAGAGACTCTGGTGCTGTGCAGGTGGATGCAGTAAAAGCTCAGTGGCAGGGAGCCATTTGTGCTGAAGTAGTGACTCATACTCAGCACAAAATATCTGGTGTACCCCAACACTTCTTTTCCTTTTAAAAGCACCTGCTGTATACATATTCTCTCAGAAGAGGGGTGTCAGGATGAAAAAGCAGAAAATTATGGGCTATTGGGATCATGTACGATGTCTTCTGCTCATTTCTGTATCCCTCTACAGGGTAGATAAAAGTGGACAGACACTTGAAGAGATGAGGAACTGTCACAGATCTCTGTAGGCAACTGATGAGTTATTTCATCAGTAGAAAATTAAATCGTGTCTGCAGTAACCGTCAGCTTCTGACCCAGGAAATAGGCATTTCCTATTTGTGCCCTTTACTCTGCTGGTGTCAGACACCACATCTCCAGAAGCTGCAGAATTAAACCGGGCTGCAAGCAAGGACAGAGTGCAGGTGGGCTCAGCTCCCAGTTCAAGTGGAAAGGCACCGCAGGAGCGGCTCAGGCCTTGGGCGTGCCTGCCTGCTGCAAACAGCCTTCCCTGTGCTGTGCCCATGCCCCACAGCCACCAGCACTGAGCCAGCCCATCCTCTCGCCTACTTTCCTGTGCAAAACCACAAAGACTGTTTTCTAATGACTGTGGGCACTTCTCATTTAAATGTTTTGGAGACAACTAAGCTTTGAACTTTCAGAGTAAGAAATCAGTTTAAAATTGAGAACTTGTGATTCCAACTAGCACAAAAACACCTATTCGAGAAATGAGTACAAAATAAGAGGCCAGAATGTCATAACTCACACCCCAAATGGCATTTTGGCAGTAAGACATTAGGAAAATGTCAATACAGTCACAGCAGCCACTCTTGGGGGACTTTGTTGTAGTTACCACTATGTCATTTGAAACTTCTTGGGCAAGGACTGTCTCACACCTCAGGACATCTTTATTTCATGCTTAGTCTTGCAAGGCTTATATTAAACAGTGGCTATAAAAATTATTGCTGTCAGTGAAATGGGAACATTTACGCTGGGATTCCAGTCACTTGGCTCTAAGTGTCAGGAGTGGGAGTCGTTACACACCATCAGCACCTACCACTAAGTAATGTGCCTATGCACTTCACAGAGCATCATCAATGCTCATCATGGAGTTTCATCAAAGCCTGTCAGCTCAGTCTAGAAAACAGTTTGTCTTAAAGCAGATTTGGTCAGACCTGCATTGGATCAGATGCCCTGCTCTTCACTGGCTGCATTGACTACATCTCCCACTAATGGAGGAGATAAAAACAGCCTGTTGGCAAGCCTGTTGGCAGGCTTGTTTTGCTGTCTTGTCACATTTGTGGGCTTCTGCACAGCATATCACACTCTATATCCTTCATCTCCTACAGCAAAAGCAAGTAACAGATACTTAAGGTTTTACTTGAACCAGGGAGAAGAGCTAAGGTGGTAATATCTGCACCCCTTTAGGTTTTTTGGTTCCTGCAAACAGAAGTCTTTGCAGAGACTTGAACATCAAATCCCAAGGGAGTGCAGAGGAACTGATGGGTGCCCTGAGTTACTGGATGCACAGACCAGCAAACCCAGGGGTCACGTACCTGCACCCCATACTCCCTTTGGGTGCAGCCTCCAAGCTGACAAACCCTGGCTCTAACTTGACTCCCCTGCACCCAAGGCAGGCACAGTCAAGAGATGTTTTGATGCTCGAGGAAAAGTGTCAATATAGTTTTTCTTATTTTGATTAGAGGTTGATTCTTTTTAAAACCTCATCAAAGGTAGGCTTGCTCCCAAGGGATTCCCAGTGCAAACTGCTCCTCCCACCTCAGCAAGCACCTGCTCAGACTTGGCCAAACTGGGCGTCTTACCACACGTGTGGGGTGAGACTGGGCTCTTGGTGGTGTTGACAGGCATTGAATGCTGATCAACAACCACACGTGAAGTATCATTTCCTGCTGGGAACAGCCCAACAGACTAGGAGAGCGCCTGCGTCTCTCACACTGTGATGCACCACCTGCACAGCTCAGTTAGTCAGATATTGGTTTGCAGCTGCTGCTCTTCCTATAAGCAGGGGCTTATATGACAGCCTTTGAAATTCTCTTTTATTTTTATTTTTTTTCTTAAGAGCTAATATTCAGTGAAGTACAGCAAAGTCTGGGCTTTTGTTAATAACTACCACCCCCTCCACAGGAATACAACTCTCATGGAACCAAACACTGACAAAATCCCAAAGTGTACATGTTGGTGAGGTCTCTCAGTATTTCACCTTTGCAGATATTGGATCTCTCTTGCTAAAATTCTTCTCTTTTCCTTTTTTATCCCGTTGCATCTAGCCAGAGAATCCAGCATGACAGAAGCATTCACGGAAACGACAGCTGAATACATTTACGATGAACACGCGTTTTCCTGCAACAAGACTGACATCCAAGAATTTGGGAAAATTTTTTTGCCAATATTTTACATTGCAGTCTTTGCTCTTGGCCTCACAGGGAACATAATGGTGGTTTTTGCCATTGTGAAAGAAGGCAGTAAAAAAAGTATCACTGACATCTATCTCCTGAACTTGGCTATCTCGGACCTACTCTTTGTGATCTCCCTCCCCTTCTGGGCTTCCAACACGGTGCGTGGATGGACCCTTGGGACTGTTTCATGCACAGCTGTTTCCTCCCTGTATTACATTGGTTTCTTTGGGGGCATGTTCTTTATCACTGTTATCAGTATCGACAGATACTTGGCCATTGTCCGGGCAACATATTCTGTGAAATCCAGAACAGCAAAACATGGCTTTCTTATTACCTGTGGAGTATGGGCAATAGCTGTTTTAGTTTCAGTGCCACATTTTGTGTTCTCCCAGCTGGTAGAAAGCGACTGCATTTCTGTCTTCCCCCAGAGGCTGGAGAACATCTGGCCAGTGTTCTGCAATATGGAGCTGAACACCATCGGCTTTGTCATCCCAGTCTGTATCATATGCTATTGCTACTGTGGGATCATCAAAACCCTGCTGTCCTGCAAAAATCAGAAAAAGTCACGAGCCATAAAACTGATCTTGGTTGTGGTGGTCGTGTTTTTTCTGTTTTGGTCCCCCTACAATGTACTGATTTTTCTGGAGACATTAAAGCACTATGGGTTACTCACAAGTTGCAACCAAATTAAGTCACTGGACTACGCAATGCACCTGACCGAAACCATCGCATTCAGTCACTGTTGTCTCAACCCTCTTATTTATGCCTTTGCTGGGGAAAAATTCAGGAAATACCTTTATCGTGTTTGCTTAAAGTACTGTCCATTCATGTGTTTCTGTGGCCCCTGCAGTCGCTACCAGGTCACCCATTCAGCTAGCTATGCAGAAAGCATCGTGAACAGCAACATAACCCTGAACACCAGTGACCAGGATGGCTCTGTCTTTGTCTAAAAGGCTCTGTGAAGAAATGCATGTAAATGTGTCTTCTGCAGAAGAATTGCCATGACTCATATGAAAAGACTTACAAGCTGCACTGAATTACTGACATGCCTCTTGTTAAGCATTAAATACCCTGAAACAGTAAAGAGTTTTAAAACAAAAGCAGTACAATATGTCAAGGCTAAAAATGGAATTGAATCAAGAGAGAGGACGAGAGAAAGCAGAAAAAAGGCAGCGCTCTGTGCGTAGAACAGGAGATGGAGAAGAATTTAAGGATGGGGAAGCTGTTTTAACAGTTTCATCATCAAAACTTGAGCATGTGTTGGTCTATGCACATGTGATACAAATATACATAGACCAAAAGTGATTTTTAAGGGAAAGATCTCTTTAATGAATGACTGAATTAATGAACAGCTGATTGCTAGCAAAGTTACTGTATTTTTTTTTATAGTAAAGGGTTATAGTTTTGATGCTATATGTCCATATGGAACTGATTATTACTTGTGCTTTCATACCTAATAAAAACATACTGTTAAAAAAAAAAGTTATTTTTGAATATGCATTTAGTGCCAACAACACCCTCAATGTTTACAGCATGCAATAATCAGAGTAAGAACCATCCTTAAGGATTTGGGACCGGACCTGGAGCTCATTCAATCTGGCAGGTATATCTCCTCATTTCCATGGGCTGTGGCCTGAGCCAAAGGCCAGAGTTTGGAGGAGGCCTTCACTCAGCACATCCCCAAGCATTCTGCTGAGTGATGGGCACCAGCACACTCTGGGACAAAGGGAACTGGAGGTAATGGGCTTGGGTATCACAGCTCTTGGTGTAAATAAGGCACGATCGAGCTGTGAATTGCTTGCAGAGCATGGCAAGTACATGCTTCACACCTGGGCTCTGCTTCCTCACACTTTATAAACACCAACTGCAAGTTATACTATCACAGACAACAGCTTTTTGGGAAAAAATAACCACTTGCCCATGCTGCTTACCACAACCTTCCTCAACCTTTGTGGCCTCCCGCACCACAGCTGACTTCCCCTGCAGGTGTACCCAGATTTAATGTGTCCTGGAGGACACATTTACCAAATGTACTCCACAGCCTAAAAATATCCTTTTTACTGCAGCAATGACAATAAATTTGGGGTGGAAAATGTCAATCAATGAGAGTCCTTACCCAGGGGCCTCTCTGGAAAGCTCCTGCCATCGCCTGCTGCAAGAGCAAAGGAGATTTTTTTTGGCATTGTGAACTGGAGTTAGATGAATGGAAAAAGGGCTGTCACCATCTATGAAGCCAAGATCACCTTACAAGAAAAAAATCAAGGACCAATCTTACAAAATGAGTCCATGCCAGTGGGACCCTATTTCTATACATTGATGGAACTGGCAATATGTCAAATCTGAAACACTTTCACTTTCCATCTAACACAGAAGTGTTGTTCTACAGCATCAGTGGGAGGAGTAGGCCCTTTTTTTATGGACCTTAGTACCACTCAGTTTCTAAGAAAATCTGGAGGAGAGCCTCCCTACTGAGCAATTTTCCATATGTAATAACTCCATAAATATTAAATATTCAATTTCTTGCTACTGAACATTCAGAAAAAATCTACAACATAATAACCCTTTCCATAAAATGTCCTGCATTAGGAGTAAATATGTTCTATACGTTCAACTTTTAAAATTCCAGACTCCAGACTTATTGGCTAAGATTAAGTGTAGCATGAGTGTCACTTGAAATTAAATTACTTTTTAAAATTCAGTCCATCTAATAAAGTGAAATAAGAGAAGTCCTTTTGTCCCCACCCGCAAGCAAGTGGTATTTTTAAGTAATGGTATTTTTACAATGCTTTTTTAAAGAAATGCTAAGATGTGCAGAAAGAAAGAGGAAGGTACTCTGAGACTAAACAAGAAGTCATCTGCACAAAATCATTTTGGAGAGGGCAGATTACCAGGATGAGCAATGCAGTCTCACTTGGTTTATTTAACTTTCCTTTTATTTTTTAGACAATGTTGAGTTACTGAGTGGGAAGAGTAAAAAGCACCTTTAAATATGCAAGCCCAGAGCTTTCTGCCAGGTCTCTAGGGAAGGAGAGTGTTTTCCTGCCTAGCTTCAGTAGTTTCCCAGGAATCCTACCTGTCTGCATCTCAGCACACATGCCTTCCAAATACATCTCCCCTCGACAGTCCAGACTTGATAGTATCAGTAGCAAGTTGTTGGGGTTGTTCAGCCTGGAGAAGAGAAGGCTCTGGGGAGGCATTATAGAGGCCTTCCAGTACCTGAAGGGGGATTACAGGAAAACTGGGAAGGACTTTTTACAAGGACATGGAGTGATATGACAAGGGGCAACAGTTTCAAACTGAAAGAGGGTAGATCTAAGTTAGACATCAGGGAGAAATTTACAGTGAGGGTGGTGAGACACTGGAAAAAGGTTGCTCAGGGAAGAGGGGGATGCCCCATTTCTGGAAGTGTTCAAGCTGGATGGGACTTTGAGCAACTTGATCTAATGGAAGGTGTCCCAGCCCATGCACTGGGGTTGCAACTAGGTGATCTTTAAGGTCCATTCCAACCCAAACCATTATATGGTTTTATGAGTCAAACTGCCTGGGCCACCGGCAAGCTGCGTTGTGTGAAACTGCATCTGCAAAAATCCTTCACTTGCAAGTCAAAAGCCCCTCCTGACAACCCGCATTTTTGTCTTCATTGCTACGCTGTGCAATGGAAAACATCAAGGGATTGTCAGCATAACACCATCAATTTTTATGCTACATATTTGCAAGTCATTATTTGGAATTTACTAATTACGCCCAAGGCACTATTGCTTGGTATTTCAGTATTTGTATGAAACGAAAAAAAACCCAAAACCTTCACTGGGGTTTTCCAGGCATTGGGCTCTGCAACAAGTAGCTATTTTATACATGTCTCCTCACAGCAGAAGTGGTAAATCTTTGAAAACCCATTGAGAATCAAAATCAACATTTTTGTTTTGTTTGCATTAGCAAGGAGTTTTGTTGTAGTTGTCCCTTAAAAAACTCCAGTTTCCATGAACCATACCAGTGCTCTAAGGGAAACCAGTCAGAAACTACCAGAACTGGGTTCAGCTGCAGCAGAGACAGGCATTGCTGCTCTTTGCTGTACTGCACTGTGCTAGCAAGCACGGGGAGCTGCAGCCCTGCAGCTTCTGCCCACAACATGTCTCTGTGATTTGTGACTCTTATATTGTGTACTTGCCTGGGTATATGCTAATTTTATACATTAACTTCTGGAGACAGTCTTCGCATCATTTGAGCCTGACTTAAAGCCACTGATGTATCTTTAAGTCCATCCATGGCATTTTTAGTTAAGTGTGGCCTTTATTTAAAGATACTACCTCTCTTTCAAAACCTCTGGAGCCGGAAACTGGTGCTTTCCAACTGCCCAGCTAGTTTACAAGATGCACTTTTCTGTGTACAGCACCAATGCTTCATATATCCTTAGAACGGATCAACACATCCCTGAGGACTAGCAACATCCAGTTCCTACCCATGACAATGACAAAATTAAACAGTCTCTCAGTATGGGATAAAACCTTTCAATCTGCCATAAACTGAGAGTAGACTCTTGCTTACTTAACAAGTTATAATTACACATGAAAATGCACGAACACACACAAACGCACACTTGTTATATCTGTCCATTGAAAAGTATTTGGTTGTGCAAAAAAGTCAGGAAATACCTGGTTTTGGTGGGAGGATTGGGCTTTGGGGTTTTGAGGGGTGGTGAGCAGTCTTTGCATCTTCTTTTTCATCATGACTGACTCTTTCCTGTTTGACAATCAGACTGACACTTAACATAAATCTTTTCCCAGCTGGGTTACAGTTTGAGGAACTAATAAAACCTGAATCCAGGTTTTCTCAAGAGGTTTGTAACTATACTTCATGTCCTACTTATAAATAGAATGAACAAGACGCATATTTAGCCAAACTGCTTGCAATGAGATACATGGACGTCAGCATCTTTTTAGGCACCACTGCAAATCCCTCTCATTCAAATATCAGGTCACAGTCCCAAGGTGATAGACCTTGTGTTTCTCCATTTTTAAGTTGAGCATGGCTGCTTTGAATGCTTTCCACTGACCTCCTGAGGTTTTTGACTTGTACAAAGAAACATTGAATTAGAGCCAGTCAGAGTATCAGACTGACCTGGGAAATTACTCAGCAGTAAAAGCTGTAGTTTTCAACACGGGTGGCAGAAGGAGTCGTTAGACACGTATTTCCTTTGGATTTAGAATTTGCTGGGAGTGTATCTGAAGCCCTGGTTCAGGGTAGACGGAAGTTTTAAGGCTATATTTACAGAGAAACTATTACTAAATGCACTAGTTATGGGTTAGGTTCTATCATTTCCATTTTGCCTCTCTCACTTTTGCAAGGTCCCTCACTAAGATCTCGTAGGTAGTACAAAGCCCTTGTCCTAGCAGAACACTCTGCTATCAACAAGGGGAAAAGTCCTTTCCATACAAGGCCCAAACATAGGAGAGTTTTTCAAATAAAAACTCAGTTATCAGCTTTATTTTTGCCAAATTCAAATTTTAGAAGTTGCAGTATCTCTGCTCGCTGTTGCTTTTGCAGCTCCCAGCTGGTAACGTTTCTTCTGCACTTACTGCTCACACATGGTGCTGGGCTTTGCCCAAGGCCATTTACATACCTCTTCCAAAATGGCAATGTTTTAATAGTGAATGCAATATTTTCTGTTTATGCTTTGGTTAATTCAGTTTATAAGACACCCGGAACTGTAATGAAAACCTGTGACTTCCAGAGTCTCATTATTTTGAAATTCCAACCTGGTAATTGAAGCTAAAATTGAGAACAATTTATATCTATTATAGGATGGCTTCTGACACTTATCATATACATAGAGATATATATACATATATATACACACACACATAGAGATGAAGTTAGTAATTATTCTGCTGCCATTGCTAAGAAGAACTTCCTAATTTGCTTAGTAACTACTGTAAGAGTTTGGTTTTCA